ACACTCAAACCCCTCCACCACGATAAGGTGGCAGCCCAGGGAGGGGCCACCAAGAATTCTAGGTTAAATGGGCTGAAACGTTTTGCATTGCATGTTGCCTCCCAATATGTCCACTCTTTGTTAATATATTGAAAACATGTTTTGCATCTCAGAGCACCAGCATCTGCGTTACAACCCCCTGCGGGACAGCTGGGTCCTTGTGTCGGCGCACCGCATGAAAAGACCATGGGCTGGACAAGTGGAAAAACCTCCCGAAGAACACATCCCCAGACATGACCCCCACAACCCACTCTGTCCCGGGAACACACGCGCAAATGGAGAGGTGAGAACAAACAGACACACAGGTTTGCATTTCAGAGCAAATGACAACCTGTGTGGTTACAGTTCGTTGTATTTCTATCTCTATGGTTTGAAACTCTTTTACTATCAATAAGTTGCCCCGTTCTACTGACCGGGTTGTGTTTTTCAGAGGATCTTTTGTTTTGTTGTCTGTGATAGACAAAAAAAAAAGATCTGATTATATGTTCACCTTTATGGTAATTTTCCTTTTGTTGTTTTTATGTTTCTGTGCAGTAATATATTTTTTCATGGAGACTGCCGGCAGAATCAGAAGTTCCAGATAGTTGTTCTAGTCTTTTCTGTTGCACCTCAGGGCTGCCATAAACAAATGTATTTTTTTAATTACTTTGTCCTTTTCAGCATTATCTTGTTAATAAACCTCATCAAAAAATGGATTGCGTGTTAGCTCAGCAGAGCTCACGTTCTTAATCTTTCTGTGTCCTTCTATTTCATTCAATATTTCCTTTTCCAGATAAATTCGAACTATGACCGTACCTTTGTGTTTGAAAATGACTTTCCCGCTCTTCAGCCAGATGCTCCAGATCCTGGTGAGTCCACTATTATGAAGAAATAACCCATAACAAAATAATTTTAAAGCACAAATGATTATTTTCGTGTATATTGTGTGTTACAGACAATGTCTTTGTTGTCTTCAGGTTCGAATCAGCATCCCTTATTTCAATCCAAAGCTGCAAGGGGTGTCTGGTAAGAGCAACTCTTGTTGTCACAGTCCAACACAAATCAGACAGAAATAAGTGCTGTAAGCTTTGTTTTACTCAGGCTGTCACATACTGTGTGTTATGGACTGCTTAAGTGGAGCACCAGTTCTGATCCGTAAATTCCAAACATTTGATTCATTTTCACTTATACAGAGGGCCTCTGAGTAGCATTCAAGGATCAATTCCCATTGTCGTGAACACACCCCCATCTGCTGGTGGCCTAACCTTAACATTTCTCCTAATGACTAAACCTGTAAAACAAATCTTTTTGAACTTTAAATACTATTCCAAATCTCAATATCAGCTTGATGCAAATCAAGATGGCAGATTGACCTCTCGGACAGGACTCTGTTGTTTACAATAGTCCTTGCATTGCCTAGATCTGTTTAAAAATGAACACATTTTAGAGTCGGTAAGGTCAAACGTGATGGTAGGTCATGTATTTTCAAACTGTGGTGGTAGTAATGCTGGTTAATTGTGCCTTCAGTTTTTAAGTATCAAAACAGTTTCCGCAGTAAATAAATTTACTCTACACCATGAAACTTCTTCCTCCATGCTTCACAGTGCAAAAATGGCAGCGTGAAGCAAACTAGGAGACTGAAAAGAGAAGAAGGAGGCCCCCGCTCCTAAGAAAGAAAGATAATCTAGGTCCGAGCGTCTCTGATTTAAAAATCCAGATTTTTTGTTTAGTCCATTTTGTTAACAAGATGATTCTGTTTGAGGGTTGTGTGCACTTGATAATTTAGAATTTATTCATAGATGCATCTTAATCACAGAGCCCCCTCAAAGTGATCATGTATTCAAATGCATGACTAATTAAATCTCGGCTGACGGGTGCAATCAGAGCACTCGTTCTGAGATTTTTGTTCTCATCCTTTCCGTAATCAGCTGTTAGATGAAGCTAATTTTTTGCTAATCAGTGCTCTGCGTGCAGTCTGTTTCCAGGAAAGCTTAAAGCTGACCGCAACTTAGTTAGACACGGCGCATAAACATAAGGGGCCTGCGGTTGCTTCCAGGCGCCAGCAGATGGCGGTGTGTCCACATGACTGCTGTAGGGGCTCCCAAGAGCCTTCCACAGTGTGAACAAAGGAAAAGATGTGCTCAATGAGGCCAGTCTTAAGCTTCGTGGAGTTTCTTACACCCATCAAAATTGAACTCTTTGACTTGAAGGTATCGATTGATTAACTGGAACCTTAATAGTTAACTTAACAGCCATTTCAGCATCGTCAGACAGCTGAGTGGTCCATCCACCTTCGCAAAACATTCTCTCTCCCTTCAAACCCCGACCCCCCGTGGTTCTCCGTCTGCCATGGATCAGTAAGGAGAGTTCTCTCGGCTAGATGCACTCACAAAACCCACTCACATTTCTTATCGTGTCAAGATATGATTGTCAGTGTGCAGATAAAGTTGCAAAGCAATCCCAGAGTTTGAAATTGCTCAGAGGAATCTGCCTGACAGCGGAGTTACATA